TAACCCATATTAGAGATATCTAAATATTTTATTTTAAAAATCATTATAGTTTCTTTTCCAATTTGGATGGAGACTAATAACCCATAGAAAGCACATAGTTCTCTTGTAGAAATCTGAGTTATAGACAATAGGTTAGTTGGCATCTTTTCTTTAGTTTTTTTAGATCAGGGGGAACATTGTGCATGAAGCCTATTGGCACAGAATGAAACAATTCAGATCTTTATTTTCAAAGTATGGTGGATTACTTGCACTTGGAGAAACTTGAATAAAATTCACATATGTTAAACATGATTAATACTGTGTTGGTCAAACAATGTAATGATTTGGATTTATTGCATTTTGCAAAGAAAACAGTAATGTGAAATCAAATGTTATTCCTGTTTACACATTACAGCTTTTAAACTGTTTTAAAGGAATCTACTAAGCAGCGACAGTGCATATTTTCAAAGCTGTTTTACTGCTGTGTTAATGAACTGCACTTGAACCTTGCAAACACAGTTCAGTTTAAAATTAATTAGTTTGTATTAAAAAAAATTAATGGAGATATCCTATCGCCTAGAACTGGAAGGGACCTTGAAAGGTCATCAAGTCCAGCCCCCTGCCTTCACTAGCAGGACCAAGTACTGATTTTTGCCCCAGATCCCTAAGTGGCCCCCCCTCAAGGATTGAACTCCTAACCCTGGGTTTAGCAGGCCAGTGCTCAAACCACTGAGCTATCCCTAGCCATATGAGCTCCCCCTGGCAATGCTAAAATTCGTGCATCAACAAAGTAAGTGCATGCAGCATGGTTGGTTATTTCCAAACCAAGACATAAACACTGAGATTTGGCTAATCACAATGCACCAATATGAAAGCCAGACTACAAAAGAGGAAAAATAGTTAGATACCAGTTCAAATGGATAAACATGATAAAACATGGGATACCACTTTACCTATCACATGTGTTTCAAAACACATTCCATTATGGTAACAAGGATACTTTAGTGCAGTGGTCACCAACCGGTCGATCACGATCGACTGGTCTATCCTAGAGGATCTCCCAGTCAATCACCATCTCCAGTGGTGCAGTGTGGCTGCCGCTAAGGCAGACTCCCTGCCTACCCCGGCTCCATGCCGCTCCCGGAAGCGGCCAGTGCGGCCCCATGATCAGGGGTCTCCCTCAGCGCGCTGCTCCTGCCTGCAAGCACGGCCCCCCAGCTCCCATTGGCTGGGAGAGCTGTTGGAGTGGTGCTTGCAGAGAGGGGCAGCGCATTGAGCCACGTGCCACCTGCCCTCCCCCAGGGGCTGCAGGGGCATGTTGGCCCCTTCTGGGAGCAGTGTGGGCCTGGGGTAGGTAGGGAGCCTGCCTTAGCCTCGCCTCCGACCAGGAGCCACCGGAGGTAAGTGCTGCCTGGCAGGAGGTGTTATACCAATAAAAACTAGCAGGATCTGATTAAAGGGGACAAGATAAAGATGCCACATTTATTATGATAACAATTTGATTTATGACCAATAACTAGTATCTTAATCCTTATACACACACATTATACCTAATACCTATACACACATTCATACACACACACACACATCAGATGTTCTGCAGCTGCTGCATAGTTACCAGTCCTGCTTGAGTTTGCAGCTTGGGTTCATAGCTTGTGGCGGCTAACTGGCCAGGAAAGCTGGGCACAAGGACGAGCTGAGTCTCTGTTGGGCATGCACTGATACCCTTCCATGTTGGCAGCAGAATGTTACTCTCCTCCAAAGTTTTCCATTTCACCCATCCTTTTTGTAGGCTTTAGTTTGAATCCAGAGTCTATAGGTCTTGCTGTGTCACGCTGCCTCCAGGTCTGGTGATTGACCACCCGTCAATTGCAGACATGACTTTCAGCCTGGGACCT